TATAAATTTATGAGATTATGTGCAATAAAAACAATAATCTGATTATTAATATTTGCTTTCTTATTCTTATGATTATTTTTGAAAACATAAAGCAACATGGCCTAAAGTATACACGGGACGTGTCCAAGAAGGTTTAGGATATTTATATTGCTGTCCGGAACCAGAGAGTGAGTCAACAAGGGAACCATCATCAACAAGGGAACCATCATCATCACGGCATGTGTACTTGTCAGCTTGTACATGAGGGTGCAGCTCACTACATAGCATAGTATACATACAAGGCACATTGATTACAAATATATTGTGGACAAGTATTGACATACAAAATAGGCGAATGTTCTCACAAGAGGTTATCACCAGAACGGCACCTGACCGGTGAAGTGAAAGTGAAACCACAGACTAAAAACTGAAAAAATCCGACTCGGCTGCTTCGTGAACATTATGTTATTGACCACGAATAATGCTTTAGATATTGCTTTTTTTCTATTTCAGGTGTGGGAATATGATATTAGAATAACACACATACCTCACACAGTTCGTTTAATTCATGTTGTGTGAAATCGATGCTTAACAATATTTCTATCGACAGCACTCGAGTGTTTACCAATGGCGAATAGACGGTACGAGTTATCGGCCTTGATATTGTATGACACCCGGTGAGGGCACTGCGAAATCGGTAACATATTTTCCCGCCACTGGGAGTCGGCGGTCCCTTTACTTCAGGTCTCTGAGCGAACATACGGAGGAAACGACCGAGAAAATGATCAAAACAGAAGTCATACAATATATAGTTGATTATGGATTTTCATTCATCAAAATATGACATATTCTCTACATTCGGATTCGGTTCCAGGAAACTAAAAGGAATATCTGTCAATAGGCAATCGACCTACTGGGAAACAAAGAAAAAACATAATTAGATTTTTCCAGAACCGTAGGAACAGATCGAATTAGTCATGATTTTTTTTCGGATTATATGGAGGTTTTCGGGTTTCCTTTGATGAATTGGCTGTATCAAATATCTTAACGTTAACTTTAATTA